GTTTTTAATCAATGAGCTTTGCAGGTTGCCTCACTTAACAACAGTGACATGCGGCGTTTTACTCGCATTCTTCACCGATCATCTGACGATGAATTGATGGACCTCATGCACACGGTAAGGAACAACGGACCCAGAAGTCATCCTGATAGTTCATTTTCTTCTTTGTCACTTTCCCCGAAGAATCATAAAACAAGCTAATACATGAAGCACCACTGAACATAGGTGAGATGTAGCCAAGTAGAGGAAAGAAGAAGGAGAAAATCACAGAAGAAAGATCAGGAGCTTGTGATAATCGAACACATGAACCAAATAATAAAAACAACGAATATAGGTTATGTGTTTGGAAGATGACATTAGGGGAGAAACGAAAGTTTAGGACAGAGGGAGGAGAGAACCTACAGTCGAGGGTTTAGGGTTTAGTTTTTGGTCAGAATTAGGGCAAACAGGGTTCAGAATAGCAGACTTTTCATGTGGCTCACATGAGGGATTTATAGTTTACACAAAATTGGCAGCTTTGGCAGCTTCTAGGACCTTTCTCGCTAGTCAGGCTTTATACGACAGGTTTTCACAGTAAACCTGAGAGGAAAGGATGAAGCAGGGCAAGCTGACAGTTAATCCTCCATGATGCTTGAGCAATCAATGCTGGTCAGGGGTCCTTCGGCCGGACGGAAGGAAGCGTGGGTGAGTACTTATGATGTATCCTTTTATTCTGACTTGCCGGTGGAATAGGAACCGGACTGATGCTCCCCAGAATAGAAATGGAGCCAGGACCATAAGGGCCTGTTTTTTGTTAAAAAAAAAAAAAAAAAAACTACGTCCCCAGGGCTCCTTAATACTCCTTATCCTTGTTGGTCACGGCCCAAGAACGGGCTGATATTTCAAAATTTCAGGGGTCACAGCCCAAGAGCGGGCTGATGTTCCATGCACATTATCTATTGCTGGCCTTGGGATGTGAGCCCAGGCCCTTGAGTATCTCTTATTGTAACTTTCTTTATAGGTTTAGATGCTGCTGCCAGGTTTCGAACCCAGGCACAGTTGTTGGTAGATGGATAGGAACTTAGGAAGGTATCTTAGGCATGGGTAGGAATCACATTCTAACAAAACATCAGCAGGTCAGACGGCCCTTTTTTTTTTGGCATGTTGCTCCAGCAAGCAGGGAAGCATTTGTTCCTTAGCAAGTGATGGCAAGATAGGGTGCAGCCATAGCTCCTTGTTGTCTCGTGCAACAGCGGAAGCATTTGTTTCCCATTTGTTGCATCTTGGACTGGGCTGTTTGGCACCCATGGGGGCTCCGTCTTAATCAGTATCATGAAGTTCGAGTTCTGTGAAGTCTTCTGTAAAGCATGTGTGACTACCTACCTGATGTATGGATGTGAAGTTGAGTTGGATATTGATTGAATCCCACATGATCCTCAAACTCCTATCAGTGCTCGGGACAATTGTAAACATGGGACACGTCATCAATGCCTCATCGTGACATGCCAATGCCAGGTCAGGCATTTGGTTGTTCCATGTCAGCAGTTTGTCAGAGCCACGTCAGCGCTGCATCTATCCTTGAAGGGCTTTGACAGTGGTTAATCCTGTGCTTAGAGAAACCAAAAGGAGGGTGTGGGAAGACCTGTGTGACACTGAAAGGGTAGTGGCAAGAGAAGTGAGAGGAGGGAAGCTAAAAACAGCTTATGGCCAAAACATATCGACAAGATGTTGCTAGGGAGCTAAGGGAACAGCAGGCAAGAGAAGAGTGAGAGAAGATGGCAGGGTGGGTGCCGAGAAGAAGAAGGAGGTGGCTTCGAAGTTGAAGAGAAACCAAAAGGAGGGTGTGGGGAGACCTGTGTGACACTGAAAGGTAGTGGCAAGAGAAGTGAGGGGAGGGAAGCTAAAAACAGCTTATGGCCAAAACATATTGACAAAATGTTGCTAGGGAGCTAAGGGAACAGCAGGCAAGAGAAGAGCGAGAGAGGATGGCAGGGTGGGTGCCGAGAAGAAGAAGGAGGTCGCTTCAAAGTCGAAGAAGACCCCTAGAGAGCCTAAGTTACAGGGGATGATGGTCCTGCAGCCTAACGATCTTGCTGCGATGAAGACCGCTGTTGACAAAATCCTCACTCCGCTGCAGGTTCTTGCCGAAGAAGTGATGGCACCCTCCTCTCTGTTGCACTGATCTAGCCCATCCGGGCGACCTGCGCCCTCCGCTGAGGCAAAGGCCAAGACACCTCCATGGCCTAGGTTGGATGAGCTGGCCTGGCTCAAGGGTGAACAAGATGAAGACTTGAATTTCCTGCACAACATTGTTGCCACTGAAGTATGTCCGGAGTGATAAGGATTGGGCAGATTCTGAAGTTGTAGCTCACCAATCCTACGAAGGAGTGGGCAGACTCTGAAGTCTCATAGAAGTGTGCGGAGATAGCTTACCTGRMA